TCATTCTGTCGATGTCCGTTCCCATTCCCTTTCTCAGCTGACTGATTAGCAGAGTCCCTGTCACTCCGTTTCTCACCCTTGGCTTGTCTGAAATCCATGGTCAACTGATACTGCTGTAGAGTGGCATCTACCACCTGAGCATATGTAGTATAGGCTGAACTGCCTGTAATAGCTCTCTTAATAGACCATATCAGTCCCTTAATGAAAGTGTTGCACTTTTTCTCCTCTATATCCACCTTATCTGGAGCAAAAAGAGATAAACGCGTGAAATGCTACTCATACTCCACCACTGTCATGTTTCCCTGCTGCAGATTAAGAAACTTAGTCTTTGTAGCTACCCCGACTGCATAAGGGAAGTACTTCTCATCAAAGCGTGCACTAAACTGATCGTAATTCAATGACATTCTCTCTTTTGTGGTGGTAACTAACTCCCACCACTATAGTGCATCCCCAACTAGCTTGAAGGTAGCAGGCATCTGCTTCTTAACCTCCGTGCACTGAACCAAGCGAAGATGTCGCTCGATATCCTGTTTCCACTGGTGAATTGCTTTTGCATCAGTAGAGCCTATGAACTCAGGTGGGCTCCCCTTTGTGAAAGAACTCCTAGCCTTCTCCCAAGTATTAGTCTGAACAACCAGTGCTGGTAACGGTGCCCGCTGTACCTGAGGCTGATTCCAAAGTGCAGCTGTTACCCCTGCTTCTATAGCCCGAGCAATAAGGTCATTAAGGTGAGGAGGATACTCTGGATCTCCTCTTTGATCCCGAGTCTACTGAACTTCTTTATTCTCCTCATGGAACTGACCATCATCCTCCTGAAGCTGCCTACGGGCTGCTTCCCTTCGTCACTGGTTGTTCCGTCTGGTTCTTGCGTTAACCATTCTATCAACACAGAAAGACAGACATCAGTACGATTAAACCGAACTGTAAAGGAATACAACGAATCTTAAACTTAAGCTCTATACAATAGAGTACACTATGCGAAAGTCTTATACGATAGAATCCTAGAGACACTTAAACCTGGAGTGCTCTGATACCAACTGTGATACCCCTCGAATCCGAGACATGGGTTGATCAGGCCCAGGCCCAAACCCGAGAGAAATATCAAACAATTAATATTTAATGAACACAGAATATAAGTTAAAATAATAAGAAATAAATAAAATGGCTGAAAATAATTCTAATTGAAAATCCTTAAAATAAAAATTGTTCAAATCCATTATTCCAAAACCTCCAATTATTTAACAACTCGGGAATTCATCTAGTGAACCCCTAATAAAAATCCCAACTGTAAATTAAAGTAACTATAATCAAAATCCAAAGCTAATAAGATAGTAGTCCTACATAGTCGGTGGAATGGAAGTCTTTATCTGCTCTGCATGACCAAGCTCTAACCCTAAAACTGACGAGAACCTGTAAAATAAAAGAGTGGGTCAGGCCCACATGCAAATCCTATTCTACTACGATCCAAATAGGAACCCGATACGCAGATACATCCTAGATAGACTCAACAATATCTAGAGTAGTCCATATATGTATATAATACACACTATAGGACGCTCACTAGTCCAATAGGTCTGTCTCAGCCTGAGTAGAGATACCATGCAAATCGCACAGTATGTGGTCATATGTACCTAGACCTACCAGGGAACAGCAACTACTGTCCAACTATCCATCCTAGGCGATATACGCACCCTAACCAAAGTCCTGAGACTCAAGCTCATACCATGGTACCATATCATATATATATAAAGTCCGTGTCCTCCTAATACAAAATATCACACATCTCGTATAGTGGTTTGACATATGTATAACAATCCATCCCAGAAACCAAATTATGTCATTCAGTTATTTACTGACCTGACACCAATAAGAGTTGGACTTAACCTTTATGGTTAATCTACACCTTAATCCATTTTAGGTAGGACTTAGTATTTGAACTAATCCATCCCTAGAATGCCACCGTCCCATACCGGTGCATACAGTCCTCCAATCCACATAATTGATAAAAATAACATTAATTAATTCATCAACAGTTCTCCGAAATATGCATCAGTATAGTTTAATACATATATAATGACATTAGGTATTCAATAAAGAACCTAAAAATCATGCTCCAACTATTTAATCTTTTAAAATAAATCATAGCGTTTAAATTCTCCAAAACAGCCTATAAATTGATACAATTACAACAATTTAAGTAACAATTAAATCCCAACTAAGTATAGTTAATTATAGTTAATTCACCATACTTATAAAACTGTAAAAATATATGATTAAATATAATTAGATCATATATAAAAACCTTGCCAAGTTCCAGTAAGTAACACTAACAAAACAGTGCAAACTACCAGTTTTTCTCTTAGGCTTTTCTTGCTCTAATCTTCCGTTCAATTATGAATTTATGTCTCCTCATAATTTTATAGGTCCACAATAGTTCCATACAACATTTAATATAGTTTAAACAGAAAATAAATAGATAAATAAATAAAAATAAAAAAAAATTATACACTGAAACAGTCAAAACGTAGCCTAAAACCATTAAAACGCAAGTTTAGAGCATGAGCAGGCTCTCGCAAGTTGAGAGCCTGCTCCTACACACTGGGAGCCGGCTCTCTAACATTGGGAGCCTGCTCCCTAACATTGGGAGCCTGCACTCATTAGCTAGGAGCCGGCTCCATCCATGTGGGAGCCGACTCTTGCCTTGAGGGAGCTGGCTCCCTCTTTTCCTAGAGCCTGCTCTCTCTCCCGAAGAGTCGTCTGTCCGTTCAGCTTCGTCTTCCTCGCCTCCGGTGATTCCCAAGGCCTCTATAATGTTTTTAATACTTGTTCTAGGGTCCAATCTTAGTCCCAGATTAATCCTAAACCATTGGTATACAACCACGACATGAATTGAACCCAACGTTTGAAAACAACGACAACAGGTTTTCAGTTAAAATTTCTTAAGCAACACAATACAGATAATTCAATGAAATTAAATATTGCTTAAGCATGCATAATTGATGTGTTAGAACATTCGTTTAATCCGTTTTAACATTTATTAAATCGCTAAAGTCTACCTAGGCATGCACAGAACATAGATTAAAAGGAAAGAGTAGAACAGAGACTTGCCTTGAGTTTCAGTTTTGAAACTCTAATCCACCGTCTCTGAATAATCCGTCAATGTCCTAAACTGTAGTTTTACACCTCCGGTGCGTTGGTTCAACCCAGAAGCAACCATGTTCCTTTCTCCTTGAACTGTTTTGGTAATCACCCAAATTCACTCTTTGTTTCTCTCTGTATCTCTCTGTGTTTTTTTTTTTTTCACTACGAGAATAGGGTTCGTTGGTAACCCTATACCAACGTATAATATAGTATATATAGGCTTCACCAATCCTAACCCTAATCCTACACCAACCTTAAGTCGGCTACAATGTGAGACATAAAATAAAACCCTAATTTACAATACGTAAAACAAATAGTAGTTAATGCAAACCAAGTTAACAATTACGCTAATTAAATAATTAAAATAATTAACCAAGTAGTTAATCAAATATAGTATATAACGAAACAGTTAAATCAAATAGTTAAATAATTAATCCAATTCAATAATTAATCAATTACTCAATTATTAAACAATTAAAACAATTAATCCAATTAAATATGCAAATAATCACAAAATAAAATAAAACAATAAATAAAATGCCGAGACTATCCTTTTAAAATTAGGGGTATTACAACAAGGGTTTCAGAAACTTAAGGTGTTATATCTCTATGATTTGTAGGAGTTGAAATCATTGATAATAGAGGAAGAAGCGTTGCCACTTCTTGAAGAGTTGTACATTGGGCCTAGCCCGCAATTGAAGGTGGTGTCGTCCGGCATTCAATACCTCAAAAAACTCAAACAACTCGAGTTCGATGTTATGCCAACAGAATTCATAGAAAGAATGAGAAGAGAGGAAGGCCAAGACTATCACATCATTAAGCATATACCATCTATCAAGTATTGGATCAAGGATAAGGGATTCAATTATTCACCGTACAAACTAGAGTGATAGATCCGAACCAAAGGTGTGAGTCATAAGCTGTTTTTCTTTCTTCTTACTTCTTTTTATATTTCTAATTTCTTAAAATAATAAAATAGAGTTAATATTATTCATGATATATTGGATAAAAGTTATTTAATTCCAGACATTGCTTGTTTTTATTGTTATTGTAATATTATTGTAATTTTTATTGTTGCTATTTTCCAAACATTGCTTGTTTATATTGTTATTGTAATATTGTTGTAATTTTTATTGTTGCTAGTTTCCAAACATTGCTTGTTTTTATTGTTATTGTAACATTGTTGTAATTTTTATTGTTGTTGTTGCTCTTCATTATTATTATTGTTGTAATTTTTATTGTTGCTGTTGCTCTTCATTATTATTGTTGTTGTTCATGACATTACTTCTTAGTATTGTTCTTATAAGACAAATCATTTCTCTGAGTGCTTCAGACCCTCTACTTGGATTCCATATTCTTTTTTCTCATCTTAGTTTTTGGGAGCCAATATATAGTTCCTAAAAGTGAACATAAGGTGAGTACCAGTAAAAAGTAACATAGTATACAAAATCTTCATATTCAATAGGAATCTTCATTTTCATATTATTTTTTTATATCACCTTAATAATCCGGATAGAAAAAGTACACAAAATGTAAGCAGAAAGTAGCCTGAATCATTAACATCTCCAAGGGAAGTTCTCAATCAAATAACATTATGTTCAACAAATGAACTTCAAGACATAAACTTATCTCTACAGTTCCTAACCTTGTAATATGAGCACATACAGTTTACCAATTACTTTGTATGCTTGCCTGTAAAATAAGAAAATCGATTTCATTGATATGTGTCAAACCTTGCATGCAGAACAAGCTCCCCAAAATGAACTTTACAAGTGAAATCAATTATGTGAACTAGGAAGACACAAGAAATATGGCTGATTCAATTACACGGAAAGAGATTGTCCAAAAGGACACTCAAACTAGTCAAAGTCTGAATTTTCTTGCTCTTCGTATTCAATTTCTTTCACATTGTTAACCACTGATTCTATTTTCAAGGATAGCCGCCGAGTGTATTCCTCAACACATTCCAAAATCTTTTGTAACTGTGCTTGATAAGCGGCAGACCTATTTCTCTCTCGATGAAGATCTGTGGACAGTTCCCGAATCTTGAGATCCTTCTCGTCCTGCATGAATACAAGAATCATAATAACCCCATCAGTTTTTTAAGTAGGAAACTTACTTTTGTATGTAACCCTTTTAATTTATCTCGAGACTATTGTAGCCATCTAAATCTCAAGAGGTCCATGATTATTGTTGACATACCTTTTTTCTTTATACAAAAAAGGCAACTCCCTAGCGTCCATACCTTTTTTCTTTATACATCTTTTTTGCTCTTCAAATATTTTCAGTAGCTAGTGCTTGGCAAAATGTCTAACATAATCCAAGATAGACACAAAATGACACATCTAATACTTCCATTAAAGGGAAAGTTTCTAGTAAGTCCCACTTTTAGCTTTAATGGCCAACAAGTTCTACAAATTTTTTAGACAGACAAAAAAGTCCTATTTTGAAAAATATTTCCAAATAAGTTCAAATTCTGTATTTTATAATTTTATTTCCATTATTACCCTTTCTCTTCAGCGTTCTTCAACTGCCTTGTTGAATTAGAGAGAGGGACCTGCCTTTCATGACTCTTATACTCTCTCTCCTAATTAAATTGGATTCTCTTGGTTAGTGTCCATTTCTCTCTCTCTAATAAGCCCTTTCGTCTTCTCTCTCCTCTTCTCCTGAACTAACACAAAAGGTGCCAAAATAAAGAGCTAAAGGAAAAGTTCAAACCAAAAATTAAGTAGTAATTTTGATCATTGCATTTGTGTGGAAATTGTGCTAAGAAGAAGAAACAATGGGAATCGTTTCTCAAGATGCGATCAACCAGTGCAAATCATTGATGGACCATGGTCAGCTCTCTTCCGTCTTCTCTCTCCTCTTTCCAAGTGGATTTCGCCTAGGTGGGTCGAAGTTGTATGAGATGTCACCGAAGCATGCGTGGACGTCTGTCGAAGTTCACTTGAACTGGGTCAAAGCTCGTTGTAGCTATTTTGGCCACCTATAATGCTCGTTGGAATGGACCGAAGCTTGCCGGAGTGGGGTTTTTATTTCACCGGATACAATGGCTGGAATGAAGCTCACCGGTTTGGTCTGTTGGAGCTCACCGTAGTTCGGAACAACTGAACTGACTCAAACTCTCCACAAGTTTGCACCGATCAAGTACACTGGATTTGAAGCTTTAAACTACACCGGAAACAATGGAAGCTACTGGGTCTGTGATGATCCCCGGACTGAGTATGGTTCGTCGACACTTGGACCTCGTCGGTGCTTTGCCGCCGCCTGGGAACTCACATGTGTGTAATGAGTTTAGCTACAGTTGTGGGTATGATACATTATGGAGAGTGCAAAATAACATTTGGAAAGGGTAATAATGGAAAAAAAAATTGCAATATACAAAATTTGAACTTAATTGGAAATATTTTTCAAAATAGGACTTCTTAGTCTTTTTGAAAAATTTGTAGAACTTGTTGGTCATTAGAGCTAAAAAGTAGGACTTACTAGGAATTTTCCCTTATAATGAATTCTAGTACACCACAAATGGTAACAATACTAGCACAAAATTATTGTACATGACATTAACAGAATGACACTATTTCACACAATAATAACAAAATTAGAAAACAAAAATGAAACAATTTCAGTTTCTTACCATCATTGGTAGTGATTACTTGATTTTTAGTAAGCATTGATTTCTTGTGGATGGATTGTACCAACGACTGTCATGGAAGAAATCTAGTTTATTTCCCACTTCCATGATTATGCAGAGTTTATTTAATTTCTAATTGAAGTATATACAACTGTAAGCAGACTAGAGAATTCATACGATTCATATATTTCATCGGCTAGGAGAAGACCTCACAGAGCCAATAAGTACACTATAAACTAGCCTAACAGATGACCAAGAAGCACCTTTTGGAGGAACACCTTTGGCATATTTTTGTTATAAATAACAAGTGATAACATCATCTACTAATCAATTCCATCTATTATATAACAAGTAGAAGAAAACTAAAGCTGCTAACTGAGCATCTAGAGAAAAAATATGCTAACCAGTCCTTTAAATGTAATACAATTGGTTTGGATGCTCTCCAAAACCTTCCTTAAAAAATCTAACTAGTTATCACATCTTGCCACCGCCATCTATTCAACTTTATTCAGAAAAACCATTTCCCAACTAACTGAGGGCAACTACATGATTTTTTTTCGTAATTATGCTCTATCTAGTATCAGTTTTGTTATTATTGTGTGAAATAGTGTCATTCTATTAATGCTACATACAAGAACTTGAGGTCCACAGAGCTCTACCAACAAATGTCATGGAAGAAATTTAGTGTTACTTTCCACTTCCATGATTGTGCAGAGTCGATTTAATTCCTAATTAAAGTATATACAACTATAAGCAAATAGGAGAATTCATACGATTTATATTTTTCATCAGCTAGGAGAAGACCTCACATCAGGGAGAAGAAAACCTCACATCGCCAATATGTACACTATAAACTAGCCTAACATATGACCAAGAAGCACCTTCTGGAGGAGCACCTTTGGCATAGTTTTGTTATAAATAAGAAGTGATAACATAATCTACTAATCAATTCCATCTATTATATAACACGTAGAAGAAAACTAAAGCTGCCAACTTGAGCTTCCAGAGAAAAAGTATTCTAACCAGTCCTTCAAATGTAATACAATTGGTGTGGATGCTCTCCAAAACCTTCCTTCAAAAATTTGACTAGTATCACATCTTGCCACCACCATCAATTCAACTTTATTCAGAAAAACCATTTCCCAACTAATTGAGGGCAGTTACATTATTTTTTTCGTGATTATGCTCTATCTAGTATCATGAACTCACCCAAACAGAATGCTATCACATATTTCCTCATTATATTAATCCATGAGTTTTGGTCTTCCCCTTCTTCTTTTTTTCCTAGTTAGGACTCACACACACTACTTTGGTACAAACCGCTGACCTCCCTTTGAAAAGTACGAGCATTGTAACGTTAGGCCACAGGCCTGTTGGTTTTTGGTCTTCCCCTTCCTCTAATATTACCTCAATATGAACCACATCATCATTTTTCCACGCTGGACCACATTGGCATCACAAACATAAAGGTACGTGCATAATTAAGATCATAATAATCTAGTATGCAGGTAAAGATGCCCCTAGGACTGGTTTTCAAGAAACAGTGACCCTCTAATTTATGGAATTAAGAGCACCAAAATCTGCCTGATAAGAAATTTGGATAGAGATTGGTTTTGTAACATTTGAACATTTATGCAGCACGAAATACATATCACACAACAAGACAGAATAACATTCAGGCATCGTATGAGAAACCCGTACAAACAAAGAAACTTTCCCATAGTGGTAGGATTTTTTAAAAATCTTTACAAGGTTAACAATCAAAATAAGCATTCGACCTTGTTATTAAATCAGCCCTTCGGGGTCATCATCATACAAGACTTGTGACTATGGTATCTGCACTAATTTAAACGAAAATAATTGTTCTCGATTATATAGATGAAAGGTTTGCAAAAATAAGAACTAAAAAACCTACAAAAACTCCAATATTGGAACAAAATTGACTGAAGAACAATCTATACAAAGTTATACTCCGTTTGGTTGGAAGGATGGAAAAATAGATGGAAGGAAGAGGGGGATGGATGGATAAAGCATCCCTAGGGAAGGGAAGGTGTCTCCCTCATTTTTTGTTTGGTTGGATGGAATGGATAGCAAAAAGGATGGACGGGGTGGGGTGACACTTATTCTTTTTCTTTTTTCCTGTTTGGTTGTAAGGAAGGAAAAGAGAGTTTCTATATTTTTTTACCAATATACCCTTGTTATATAAAATTAGATATCCATTCCAATTTTTTGGGAAGGTTAAAAATGGAAAGTACGTATATTTGTTGGTTAGTATCCCTTCTTTCTCTCTCCTCTTCCCCCAATTTTGGGCAGATCGGAAATACAAAGCAAGGAGGGATTCTTCATCCCTACTTGCTTCCTCCCTCTCTCCCCTTCCCTCCAACCAAATACGAAAAAGTTCTTTTATCCTCCCTTTCATCCATCCCTACTCAATCCCTTTCTCCAACCAAAAATACCATTAGAGTGAACTTTCCAATTTCTCATTTACATTGGTTTCCACTTGACACATTGCAAATAAGTACATAGGAGAAGAGATCAACTACCATGGTTATGGTTGTTCTTCTTCTTCTTTTTCTTTTCTTCCAAACTTATTCGTATTATTACATAGACTATTGGTAGATAATTGCTACCAAATTAAACACTTTTTTATTTTTTTGATAAGTTAAAAATTTAAACAATTTTTAATAAAATATCATATGTGGTAATTCTTATTAAAAAGTTTTTTTTTATTTTCAGATAATCCGCATCAGACAACCTAAATTTGTAATTGATGTTCTTTAACCTGACGATGGCTATAGTTGGATGCAAATAATACATATAACCATTCTAGTTATCTAAATTCAAGGAGGCAGTCTTGGAATGGGAAGGGGAATCAATTACACCAAACTCTATGCGCACACATTTTTATTTTTCAGTGAATTATTTATGCCCCACACATTTCATCAGTTTGATACTACAGATTAACAGAATGGTAAAGGTCCATGGTGCACACATATCAACACTAGGCACTTAAGAAGTCCACTCGAGGACAACAAAATTCTTCTGTTGATGAAAACCTTTGGCAGGTGTAGTGAGCCTATCTACACAAATGAGTTCTAATAATTTACTCTATAAAGATACAGCTAGAAATAAGTTGGGATTTCATCACGTTGGATTTAATTTGGTGAACCCAAAAGAAACTACATCCAAAACCAACCAGCCCACTTGATCATATCTTAAATTCTTAATTACATTAAATGCATACATAGAAATAGGGAATGATATTGGTTTGGCACATTAAGCCAACCAAGCTTTTATCCTTTTTTTTATTTTTTTTTATAAGTTCAAAAATTTTATCCTGAGAACGTTGCAAGTCATGGTTCAATATTCTAGCTTAAAATAAAAAATAAAAAAAGTCAATTTCAGTGTTTAATCCGTAGCCACCACTAACTAAAGAATTTCTGAAATACCTGCCAGATGTATTTTGATTTCATCAAATGATTCGAGCTATGTTAGACATGTCCGGTGTACATCATCATTGGAAAAGGCTGTTTCTTTAATAAATCTATTCGCTAACAAAAAGAGCCAAAGACATTGTGTTGTCATGGCATCTAAATCAAAGGATGAGAATAGCAATTCAATCTTCTATTTAAGGCCATAGCCTCTGTCAATCCACATGCTATCATATATTTCTTTACTAACTCTACCCATGTTAATTTTGATCTTCCTCTTCCCCTGGTATTACCCAATTTACCCTCAATGTGGACTATCGTCACCTTTCGTAACCGGCGCACTTAAATGTCTTCCTTGCACGTGTCAAACCATCTTAACCTATTTTCTGTCACTTTATCTCCAACTAGTGCTACCCGAACCATCACCTGAATGTGAATTTTGATTGAATAATATAGTAACAAATTTATGGATTTGACAATGGTTAGTGATTATGGAGCAGGAAACAAAATGCAACCAGAAAACTGAACAAAAATTTCAACTTAAATCCAGAATAGTGTATGCAAGCATTACATGGAAAACAATTGCCTCAAACATACCTCACAAAATGCAATCCTATGCGATTGTCGGGGTGGTATTTTGCCAGGATTAAGCTCGTGCTGATGCTCTTTTATAAACCCATATATAACCCACTTTCCTCCATCTTCTGCAGTTATCCTCAACATTGCATTGCATCCCTCTATGGTGTTGGGCCTTGATGGAAGAATTCTGTTTTCTCTGTTGGCGTATTTATCTGGACGAAAACCTTCTTTTGAACAAACAAATTCCCGACCAATTATTGAATTATCTTTAAGTGAACGTCGTGTACGGTTATTCCGTATGGTAAAGCCCACACGTCTTCCATAGATCTCATAAAATTCCCTAGCATCCTCCTGCTGATTCGAACTCCATGCCGGCATATAATTCTAAAGTCTCCAAATTTATAGGTAACTTTCCAATTGTTGGCTGAATAATATCATCATTTTCGATAAGATTATCTGATAGCTCATCTTCTGTTATTTCATGACCATCAAATGTTTCAGCCAACCAATGCCTATAGATTCTGTTTGAATTAAATCCTTGGCTAGAGGCACCTGAAATTCATAGAAAGAATATAGAAAGAATACGAGAATTAAAATTATATTCATTCGATCATATGATTCACTGATGGTGTTACATCCAATTTATAGAATATGACCTAACTAAAATAGGTAACTAATTACCTACCAATTAGCCCTAAATCAGGGAGAAAATAATTCAATCCTACAACTGTACTATAAGAAATAAAATTTCAACACTCCCCCTCAAGTTGGTGCATAGATGTCATACATGTCCAACTTGTCTAAATTTTTTGAAAATACTTGATTTGAGACTGCTTTGGTGAGAATGTCGGCTAGTTGATCCTTAGATCGAATCTTAGGCAACTCCATAATTTTCCCATCCAAATTCTCCTTAATGAAGAATCTGTCTATTTCGACATGCCTCTTACGATCATGTTGAACTAGATTATGGGCAATATCACATGCTGCTTTATTATCACAATATAGTCGAATAGGTTGCCCAGGTAGATAACCCAAATCCCGTAAGAGAAGTCTTAACCACAATGTTTCACAAAGTGCAAGCGTCATACCTCTGAATTCAGCTTCTGCACTCGAACGAGCAATAACATTTTGTTTCTTGCTTCTCCATGTAACAAGATTACCTCCTACAAAAGTAAAGTAACCAGAAGTAGATCCCCTATTATCTATGGCTCCAGCCCAGTCAGCATCAGTATATGCATCTATGTTTTGATATCTAACATTTTTAGTGAACAAAATTCCTTTTCCAATAGCAGATTTCAAATACCTCAAAATGTGTATAACTGCATTCATATGTTGCTCTCCAGGATCATGCATAAATTGGCTAACAATGCTCAATGCATATACCAGATCCGGTCTCATGTGTGTTAAGTACATCAATCTCCCTACAAGTCTTTGGTATCTTCCTTTATTAGCAGGTACTTGGTTGGACTCAACACATAACTTCAATCCTTCTTCCACTAGTGTCTTAGCTGGTTGACATGCTGTCATACCAGTCTCTTGTAATAGATCTAAGGCATATTTTCTTTAAGATAGAAATATTCCTTTATTAGATCGAGATACTTCAATCCTAAGAAAATATCTCAAAGGACCTAGATCTTTCATTTCGAATTATCTAGACAAGTACTTTTTGAGAGCCTTCATTTCTTCAGGATCATTCCCTGTAACCACCATGTCATCTACATATACAATGAGTGCAGTGATCTTACCCTATTGTTTCTTCAGAAATAACGTGTGGCCTGAATTGCTCTGACGGTAACCAAAGGCTATCATAGACTTTGTGAATCTTCCAAACCATGCTCTTGGAGATTGTTTCAACCTATATAATGATTTCTTTAACCTGCAGACCTTCCAACTATACTTTTCGGGTATCATGCATCCTAGTGGGAGATCCATGTAAACGTCTTCAGATAATTCACCATGCAGAAAAGCATTCTTCACATCGAATTGTTGCAATGGCCAATCCAAGTTCGCAGCTAAAGACAACAAGACTCGAACTGTGTTAATTTTGGCTATAGGTGCGAACGTCTCTGTGTAATCGATTCCATAGGTTTGGGTGTAACCTTTTGCCACCAATCTTGCTTTAAAGTGTTTAACTGTGCCATCAGCTTTATACTTCACAGTGTAAATCCATCGACATCTAACTGGTTTCTTTCCTGGTGGAGAATCAATAAGTTCCCAAGTTTCATTTTTCTGCAAGGACTTCATCTCCTCGTTCATAGCTGTTTTCCACCTAGGGTCAGCTAAGGCTTCCTGAACACTGTTAGGAATAGATATAGTATATAATTGATTTACAAATGACAAATTTGATTCTGACAAACGATGGTTCGACACATAATTGCTCATGGGATACTTAACTTTACTAGAAAGTTCAGGTTCATATGTGGGTTTAGGAACACCTCTAGTGTGACGCGGTGGTAATTGTTTTCCGAGTGGCTCAGGCACTAAATCAAGAACATCCTCAACATGCGATTGGTTTGATATATCAGTTACGAAGGACTCAAACTCAGACAACGATAGGGTTGGCGCCATACTTTCTATTTCTGGGCGTTCATCACCACTTTGATCCAAACTTATACTATTCGAATCCAATTCGCCTGATTCCCAATTGGTTTATCCAATTTGTGAGTCATCAACACTAGAATCGCCATCCTCAAAAGTGTGATAATCATAATCTAGAGTTTGAATTTCGTTTTGGTACTCCCCCTGAAGTTCAGATGCAGAGGAAAAATACATAGAGTCTTCATGAAAGACAACATCCATTGTGACAAACATTCGTCGAGTTGGAGGGTAATAATAGCAATACCCCTTTTGATAAGTAGCATATCCGAGAAAAACAAATCGTAATGCTCGAGGAATTAGCTTGTTGCGTTGATGTTTATGGAGGTGTACAAATGCTACACAACCAAAGACATGAGGAGGTAGATTTGGGACAGTTGGGGCAACAACAGCGTTAATGAGAGCCTGCAATGGTGTCCAGAAGGTAATAGAGCTAGAAAGTACTCGATTGATTATATATGTTGCAGAGGTAAGTGTTTCTCCCCAATATGATAATGGCATATGCACTTCTATCAATGAAGCATGAACAACCTCCAACAAGTGTCAATTTTTTCGCTCTGCAACCCCGTTCTGCTTGGGTGTATTGGAACAAGTGGTTTAATAAATAGTTCCATGTGCTTCCAAATACTGCTGAAGGTTAAAATTCTGATATTCTCCACCATTGTCACTACGGAGAACCTGAACATGTGCATTGTATTGAGTTTCACCATTTTATGAAACTTCTGAAACAATAACTTCACTTCACCTTTGGACTTCATCAAACACAGCCAGGTCATCTTGGTACAGTCATCAATAAAAGTAACAAACCAACGGGATCCACCTAAAGTAGTAACTTTGGACGGACCCCAAACATCAGAATGTATAATCATAAAAGGAAGTGGACTTTTATGCAAACATAAGGGATACGAAACACAGTAACACTTTGCTAGTTCAGCAACATCACAGCAGAAACTAGAAACATCAAATTTTGGAAACAAACTAGGAAATGATTTTTTTAGATAACCAAAGGAAGCATGCTCTAGACGTCGATGCCACAGCCAGATTTCAGATTTCTTTTTCTCCCCCTCAGAACCATCCATTGTCAATGCTTGTCGTAACTTGTCAGAGCTTTCGGACATCAAGTCCAAGTAATACAGTTTCCCTCACCTAATACTACAACTAATCATCTACTTTGTTTGGATGTCCTTAAACACACAAAAATTAGGCCAAAAAATGACGATACAAGATAAAGCTATGGTTATTTTGGAAACTGACAAAAGATTAGAATCTAAAAAAGGAACAACTAAAACAGAATTTTAAATGCAGATTATCAGTGAGTGCCAAAGATCTTTCCCCAATAACTAGGGTCGAAGTCCTATTGGCAGTAGAAATAAATTTGTGTGAGGATGAATTAAGAGGTAAGACCTGTCTAGAATCAAATGTCATATGATCTGTGGCACTAGAATCAATTATCCATGCACTATTAGCAACATGTGTAGAAATATTGAAAACCTTACCACCATTATATGTTGTCTGAACAACTGCTGTAGTGGAGGACTTTGTTGAATTCTTCTTCCAACGGCAATGATCCCACCAGTCTGGATATCCCACAAGTTTGAAACAGCGACTTTTAGTATGACCAGTCTGGTTGCAATGAGTGCTTTTGTAGGTAAACTTATCTGCGCCAGATGATTCAATATTTTTCCCACTCTTTTTTTTTTTTTTTTTTTTTTTAAAGAACTGGTTTATGACAGAACCAGTTTTCGACTGAGATTACAAAATTGGTTTAGTTTTGAACTAATACAGAACTAGAATAGTATTATAATTGTGGCCAAACAGAGGGTTATAATATATCATATATATATCTATATATATTTATATATATATATATATATATAAATATAATATTATATATTATATATCAGAAGAATATATATTAATCGCCAGTAAGGAACGATATGGTTCAATGATCGTCGTTCCCGGTGACGGGATTGCAGATTTCGACGGCGACAGCAAATTGGTGTTCGGCAAGTTGGTTTGGATTTTTTTTTTTTTTTTTGCTATGGATTTTTGACAAGGATGGTCTTGATGGAAGTGTCAAAGAGTTAAAGAAGACGACAGCCGTGGACAGCGGCCGACCGTGGCTAAAGAACCCACCGGCGATAATGGATCCGGCAGGGACAAACTGTCACTTGCTGCAAATACAAGTGAACCTCTGTAGTTTGACCAGTCCAAAGATGGGGACTGATGATGATGGCTTAGGAATGTATGGTTCAATAAAAATAAAATAAAAATAATATATGGTTCAATAAAATAAAATAAAAATAATGTATGGTCCAATAAAAAATAAAAAGATTCAAAGGTATGATTCAAACATGGCTCTGATACCATCTTGAAATTGAGAGAAAGAATATAGAAAGAATACGAGAATTAAAATTATATTCATTCGATCATACGATTCACTGATGGTGTTACATCCAATTTATAGAATAGGACCTAGCTAAAATAGGTAACTACCTACCAAGTAGCCCTAAATCAGGGAGAAGATAATTCAATCCTACAGCAGCACTATAAGAAATAAAATCTCAACATCCTCAACATTGCATTACATCCCTCTATGGTGGTGGGCCTTGATGGAAGAATTCAGTTTTCTCTGTTGGCGTATTTATCCGGACGAAAACCTTCTTTCGAATAAACAAATTCCCAACCAATTATTGAATTATCTTTAAGTGAACGTCGTGTACGGTTATTCCGTATGGTAAAGCCCACGCGTCTTCCATAGATATCATAAAATTCCCTAGCAT